ATTCAAGACAAAATGGGGAAAACAAAGCCCACGAGGGGGCAAAACAAGACTGGGTAACAAACACTAGACTTAAACTGAGGTCAAGACAGGAACAATACTAAGACACGAACAGACTCTGGATTAACAGTTAACTCAAGGGATTACTCACTGCAAACTTCACAAAACAACAAACAGATCTCACGGCAGGTTTCAAACACTGTTTCACAATGAACCGACACAGGACAGCAAACACAAGGGGATAATAAAGGGAACACTAATAACAAAGACAGGTGAAACTGACTAGACAATAATCACAAGACTAGGATAACAAGGGGGCGGGGTAAGTTAACGAGACAACACAAGCACATGGCCCAAACAGGCCATGCGCTTGCACACAAAACATGATTCTGTCATGATCCTGCCTCACAACTAGAGAAAAATCAAAGACAAGAAGGCAGAATCATGACAGTAATTTTTGGAGGCCTGTTTAAAAATGAGCTGTTTTGGGGCTATATGACCTTAAATGCAAATGAGCTGCATATTCCTGCCCTGCCTTTGGATGAGGGCGTAACTTCATACCTATGGCAGTCACTCTAAGCAGACGGGCTGAGAGAGTGAGAGAGACCCGCTGTTTTGAATGTCATTCAGCCGTACATGTTTGAATCGGAATATATAAAGTCTCTGATCAGACCCAGATGACGAAGAGACTCCGGCAGAATAAACACAAATGAGAATGGACCAGTACGTCTCAGTATGGTTATTTGATACATTTATGTACTTATAGCTTTGTAATCGCGTCCTCTTTGAAATGGATGTGCAACACACACACACACACACAGACACAAACACTAACGTTGGCGCAATATTTTGAAACTACATACACATACTGTGATAAAGTTTGCTAAGTTCAAGCGAAATTACATTTATGCGAGGGACCTGTGGCATCATGTTTACTTGTCATACAGGTGCTTCTGTGGCAAATGTGAGAAGATGGCTAACTTACAGAACAACAACATATATGCAGTTTTTAATACAATATCTTTAAAAATATATATATTTATAAACGTGTGGTTACACAATATACAAACAAGGTTTAAATTATATACATAGGCATCCTACGACGGCGACGACGACAACAACTTTAGACGCATTTGTTGTTGAATTGGCTGACAACGACCGAAAAGACTATTTGCTCAAAAATCATAAAATGCACTTACTGTTAATGGAGGTGACGGTGGATCGCAAACAGTAGACGATGATCCACACTTGACAATGAACTTTTAACCCACAACAGGATTATCCCACAACAGAACACTTATGTTTCCAAGAGACGTTACCGGCTGTCATTGAAACAATGGATGATTGTGTACAGATCACCGAGGGCGGGGTCTATTCCACAACCACACTGTCAATCAAACCCCTTGCTCAATTCTACGTCACAAAGCGTTGAATCTCAGAACAGCTCTGACACAGTGCATATGATTTATTGAGATTGTAAGAAAACCACTGGGTGGATTTTTATCATTCTAGGGTGATTTTGCTCACACACTGCCAACACACATTTATGTTCAAACACCATGTAAAAGTGAATTTTCCATAATAGGTGCCCTTTAATGCACATCTATTTTGACCTACCGTATCAGATTGTTTTGTCCTGTCTGTTGGTATGGTTATATTGCTGTCAATCATTGCAGTTTCGGATTCAATCACACATTTATATACAGTTGTAAATCCAAAACTTTGCTATATACTGAGCAGCATGAAAAACACAACTTTTATTAAAATTGCGTATGGGTTATAAATAAAAAGCAAGAAAAGAGCGCTTCCTTATATAATCAGTGAAGCAGTCAATCACATGCTCACTTCTTTGAAAGATTACGCTTTAATCAAAAAAGCTGTTTACACTGCACAATGACTCTTTTCACATCGTGTTTACACTTTGTTGGTAAAAGTGAAAGGGTTCGGGAGTGTGCAGAAGAAGCTGTTTTGAGTGGTGTTAAGCGATTTCTTAATAACTTAAACACCTCATATTGGCCATTGGGTTCATGCGCTCAAAGTGATTGGCTTCAATCATTAACACTTGAATAACATTTTGTAAAAAGAAACCTTTGACGCAAAACCTTTGTTCACAAAGCGCTTAAGACAGAAACATAGGCGTGTTTGAAATCAGTCACGTTACAGCAGGTACCTTATATACCTGGTACTACCAGTACTGCAGAAATACTGGTAGAGTCACATTATGTTAATTTACTATACCATGTAAATAAAAAAAAATGATTGACGTTGATAGTGGTGCCATAGAAACAGATAATTCCCAGTCCGAGGATGTGAACAGCTAGGAATATAACGTCACGTGTTGTCATCTTGAGACTATGGTAATTATGACATGGCGTGGATGCAGCACTTGTAATGGGAAATACACCATCCATTATCTATCGCTGTTTACACTTAATGTATCATTCTCAGATTTTGATGTTTCCCTAGTTATTTTTTTTTTTTAAGTTTTAAACAGGATACTTGTCCAGTCGTGAAAGTAAAATTCTTTTTCACATCAAAAAATCCCTATTGGGCAAGTGGTAATGTTGAGCCCTATGTTTTTATGGAGGAGAATCAAGCTATTTAGTTCTCATCGAAGGTTAGAGTTGGGGTTAGACACACCAATGACCTATGTTTGCTGATTTCTCACTCATCAATGTTGACTTCGCCAAGGTGTTTTTATAATTTCTGATGAAGTGCAGATTGAGTCATCAAGATTTTTTATCTGTAGTGGCTGAAGAGATACATGTTGTATTTATATATAGCCATGAATGTCCATAATAGTTTAATTTAGTTGAAACCTGTTCCATTTTATCCCTGTATGATCAATCCCAAACTTTATTATGAAAGTCAGTTGTGAAGCAGTTCCCTTCTGAGTATTCCTCTATTGTGATGCCGTGAGTAGATAGTCGGTCATGGGGAAGAGTCCTTTAACGGAGGTCCTCAACTGGCACTAAATCTTTTTCTGAGAGAGATTGAGAGAGAGAGAGAGTTGTGGAGAGGGAGAGCCGGCTTCCATCATGAGAACTGTTCCTCGCTTGAATACGCATCAGTTGTCATCCTCCATCACTGAAGTCTACTTTGCCAATTGCTTTCTCATCCTTAAAGTACCCATGCTTATCTTAAATTTGTTTGCACTTTTTTTTGTGCTTCATGTACACTCTACTTCCTGAAATTTTTAAGTATAGTTTTAAGTAGTTTACTTTCTGCCATGCATTTGTGCTTGTGTATTGAATACCCAATCAATGCTATTGACCATTTTAACCATTCTAATGAATTTATAAACTGTATACGTTTTCAGTTGCCAATTCCAAATTATTTGTTTATCAGACAATTCATTAGTAAAGTTAGAAAGTCACTATAAAACAGAATTATTTTTCTGCATCAAAAAAATATGATTTGTTATTTTGTAGTTATTGTGTTCATGTTGTTTTGCCAAACTGGTGTATTAAGGGGTAGGGGTAAGGTCAACAGTGTAATCTTAGCGTTTGTCTTCTTCTTTTTATTATAATTCTTGAGTGTAAGTCTAGTGAAATTACATTTGGAACATAGAGGAGAATCAAAATTATAACCCTAGCAAATTTAAAGTCTCTTAAACCCTCTAACTCCACCAATGGGTCAAAGATACATTGATGTTTACACAATACCTTTGGAACCGTAAAGATCAGTTTTCAGTCAGTTTTCCTCTGATTTCCTTCTCCTTCAGATTTTATCCCATCTTCACAGAGGTGAAAAGTGATCAATTTTTAGCACACACAACCAATAGTTTTTGAGGAATAGTTTTATAAATTTGACTAGCATGTGAAAGTGTACGTTAGGATAAATCTCTGCAATGCTTTGATGTATTGAGATAAAACTTGAGACAAAATGTATCATTTTCCTAATAACTTCTCAACAGTTTGATCAATCATGAAACTTGTCTCTTTAGATTCAAAACAGCATGCAGAGACTATATCAAAAACGATGTCAAGTTTATCCATGTCGGCCATTTTTGCTGCCGACAATTTGTTTAATTTGCAGCAAAGTTCTGTATTTTACGAATACATTGGTGTATTGATACGGAACTTGGTATGCGTCTTCAGTGAGCTATCGATTTTTAATTTGCTGCACAATTTGCAAGAATGTCTTTAGCTTTTTTGAATTCCTCTTTCTATTCCTCGGGTCCTACAGAATCCAAATGGTACATGTTTTTCAACAGCCAAAAATAATCACCTTAAAGCTACACTGTGTAACTCTTTTAGTTTATTCTTAGCTAAAAACACTTGGTTCTTTCAAAAATATATGTGCTCATTAATGTATATTTACTTCGTTCAAGTAATAAAGTATTCTCGTGAGTGTATATGCCATTGAAAATATGCCATATGCCATGTTGCCCCTCCATCTTGAAAGTACATTAGCCAAAGAGGGACATACCCGTTAATTCAAGCTTCGCCTTTCGCCTTTACGTTTGAGTTAACACTCATGGACGAGGTCGAACTGGAAGCCATGTTAATCTTGGACTACATTGGCCACCGTATGAGTTAAAACGAAATCGGAATTGAGAGGAACAGAAACTAATATTCTCTGGATGGTCATATATCTTTTCACCGCTAGATGTGGGTAAAAATAACACAGTGTAGCTTTAATGCTACAATTTTATTTGATTGGTGGGCTTGACTCAGCCATGTAACTGCTGCTTGCATCTATATTTACAGATGATTACTTTTTTCAGAAGCAGGTATTTTTTTAAATACAAGTACACTGTAAATACACATATCTAGACAATAAGTGCACTGTATATTAGTGGATTAGATATCAGTGCATAGTAGTTGAAGACACTAAATATAAAGTGGTTAATAAATAAGTTTGGCTATTCTATAATCTTTCCACTATATGAAAGTTATGGGAATCTTTTTATTATTATTAATATTATTGAAAAGTGAATATAATAGATTGCAAAATCCTAGCTGTGGGGTTGACTCTCTTTTCACATTTACATTTATAAGGACATTCTCAAAAACCTGGAGAATGTGGAGTCATGTGACCTGGAGGATGATGATCTCATGTTGGATTTGGACTTGTCTGAAGATACATCATTACACAGCGGTGAGTGATATAGTTTGGCTATAGCATTCGCTTGAAACTGTTGCTTTGCCATGACAGTATTTAACTTAAAAGAGGAAAGTAGTAGAAGGAGAACCTGTTTAATAGTACAGTTTCCGCTAATGTTTGCTACAACAGTATTCTATGATAGGTTTAAGAATGCAACTGTGCATTAAGCTTGCATTGGTGGAAACATTTGCATTCACATACTTGTGTAGGGTTTGTTTTTAAAAGAGTTGGGTTTACAATATTCCCAAGTTACACGCATCACATAGCTAAATTACTATTTCAAAGAGACAAGTAAACCCCCCAAAAATACCCACATTAGATTTCCAATTACAGTTGGTAACGTCTAGTAAATATTGTAAGAAATGAATACAAATTGTACTACAGATAATATTGTACTATAAATAAAGCACAATCAATTGTGTACAGATTAACAGAACAAACCCCATAAGCCCCTCTTTTTAAAAATGCATGATACACTACAGTACCATTCAAAGTAGGTATCCCAAGTATGGGATTGGTAATATATATATATATATATATATATATATATATATTAGTATTAGTATGTATGTAATTTTATTCAGGAAGGTTGCATTAAATTGATCAAAAGTGATATGAAATATTTTTATATTGTTGAAAAGATTTCTAGGTAAAATAAATGCTGTTCTTTTGAACTTTGAACTCATCAAAGGATACTTAAAAAAAGAAAGAAAATCACAGTTTCCACAAAAAATATTGGTAACGCTTCCTTTTACAATCCTGTTACCCATGTACATACTATGTTCTTAGTAGAGTAATTACAATTACTGGGTAATAACTAGTACTAACCCTGAACCCCTAACCCATGTACTTGCCTTATATTAGCCAGTACTTCTAGGTAATTACACTGGAAGTACTGTACTGTAAAATGTTTTAAACATTGATAATAAGAACCGTTATTAATAATTGGAGTTAGGGTTAGGGTTAGACAGGGAGAAATCCCATAGACATTAGGGGTGGCACGGTTCACAAAACCCACGGTTCGGTTTGTATCACGGTTTTAGGGTCACGGTTTTCGGTTCTGTACGGTTCTTGTTATTTTTTCTTTTAATCTTTAACACTCCAGAAATGTACTTCAGCATGTGATATATAGCTTAATTATCCACACTTTAGGATACAGTATTAAAAATATATATATTATATTCATGCAATCATGCACAAACTGAATTTGACTCTTTGACTTTAAGCACATTTTGGGACTATCTCAGAGGAAAGCTAGGTGAGATTTAGATACAGCAAGAGAGAAGAAATTGACATGCTTTTTGTTTATTTGGCAAAAAAAAAAGGAGAATGTGTATCACTATCTCTACAAGAACTTGTGCATTTTTATCACATAAATCTTATTTACACAAAGAAATTAACTTTCATGTATCAACTGCTAACTTTTGTAGCTCTTACCAAAATTCTATCTTTTAAAAGAAAAAGAGAGCAACTCTTAAAACACTGTCTTTTAAATGTCAATATACATGAAACCTCATTGCCTATAGATAATAAAGCTATTGCAATAGCAAAGGCCATAAACATAAAGTGAAATTTAAGTTCAACCTCAACACAAAAACAGTATCAACAATGCTTCTATTCCCAAAATGTGAGGGTACTTTTTTCCACTTAAAATTAAAGTGCAGGGTTTGGAAACGTATGACTGAAGCTCTTATCTATACATAAAGTGCCACTGTAGTTAAATTAAAATATCATAACATGAAATCCAAAATGTTCCCACACACCGGACTTATACCATAGACTTATACGACGCTGGCGCGTCCTCCAACTCCCTCATCTCTCCCACTTGCCATTTCTCCTCGTGCCGTGACCTGCAGCGCTCCATACTCCACTTTTACTGGCTTGTTTATTAACTTGAACCGGCGCTGCACAGAGCGATCGGTAATGACATCAAATACCGCGAAAGTGATGAATGCATACGGAGCCGACTCGCGCTAGATTGATGTTATTCACCGATCGCTCTGTGCAGCGCCGGTCCAAGTCGAACAAGTTTATGTCGCGCGAAAAGAAAACACACGTCACATACGGGCACGAGGTTACATTGCGCATGCGTCGAACCGTGAGACGCACACGCGCTCCGAACCGAGACAAGCGAACCGAACGGTTCGGGTGTTTTTTCATGTACCGTGCCACCCCTAATAGACATATATTGAAAGATGGACACTTGCCTATTTAGAGACCTGAATATAATAGAGAGGGAAATTTAACTTGGGCCTGGAAGCAACCACCTTGCAACCTTCCATAGTGTTGGACAATTCTGCACTCACAAAACTAGTTGATAATTTTTTATATCTGTTGTAGATACTGATGGGATGTCACCTTATGAGTGCTCAGAAAAAGAAGGCTGGCCCATTCAGGGGAGACGTCAGCAATGCTGGGGCAGATGTGAAAACAGGTGACATTTATGCATTTTGACATTTTGTGAAATTGTTGTACATTTTATGCCAGCGCTTAGCACAATTGTTCAAACTTTGAATAAATTACATAAAGAACACAAGCAAAGAACATTTAAGTGGTCCATGACAAGTCTAATGTGATTTATTCGCTTTTGCAAAATTTCCCATTATAATCAATGAAGCTGTCTACACTGCAAAATTAATCTCTTACTTAAATCTTTTCTGCACTTGATGATGTATGTTTATGATGATGAGAGAAGTTGTGAACGCATATTTAGAATTCAATCAGTGAGTAAGTTGAACATTGCATTCATAATTTCAAAAGAAACGTACAGTATGTGATAGTTTATAATGCTCAACATACCACACATGAAAAGAAATATGATGCACCATAAGCAAATACCCCAATGAACGCTCTGTTTGTTCTGTCATGGTTACGAAGTCCATCTATGATCCTACTGTCTTTCCGCCTGCTCCACCATGCGGATTTTCAGTCTAGTTTACTCTGGTGTTTTGGTCTTTTCCTTAACCTTGGGGATCTTTGGTCCAGTATACTCTGCTGTTGTGGTCATCTGCTCCACCGTGGTGATCTTCAGTCCCCTCTTCTCTGCTGTTGTTATCTTCTGCTCCACCGTAGGGATCTTCAGGCCCGTGGACTGGGAGCAGGACTGGAGAGACTGGGCCAGATTGGTGACCCAGGACAAAGCTAGCAGAGCAGGTGGCTAGGGTGGAGTTGACAGGACTGAAGACCATCTCAGTAGACCACCAGGGCAGAGTAGATAACCACAACAGCAGAGTATACTGGACTGAAGATCCCCATGGGGGAGCAGGGGGGAAGGTAGATGGATCATAGATGGTTTCCGGGTCCATGTCCAAACAGACAGAGTAGTTTTATTTTTTCTGTTTACCTATTCTAGAGGTTTTTTTTTAAGTTTTTGTTTTTACTTATGGCGCTTTTCCACTACACAGTACCAGCTCGACTCGGCTCGGCTCACCTTTGTTTGGTTTTCGATTGCATAAAAGTTGTATCTGTACCGGCTTTTATTTTAATCACCTTTGGCTAGGGTTGGGTATCGAGAATCGAGTATCGATTGGAACCGAGACTAACTTTTCGTTTTTCCCGGAATCGTTCAAAAGTTAAAATTTCGATTCCTAGTTTCGATATTCACAGTCCGCCGAGCGGAAGAAGAAACCGCTGAACAACACCAACGAAGAAGCATCTACCGGAAGTGTTGGCATAACCACGCGAGTCGAACATGAGTACCTTACGTCGGCGATCCAAAGTGTGGCTTCACTTTTCTAAAAATAACGAAATCTCGGCAAAATGCAAAATTTGTGACAAAAGGAGTATTTTTACAGAAGGAGTATTTCCTTCAGAAAGGATTATTTCCTTCAGAAAGGCCGTTGGTTAGCAAGGTTAGCTAAACTTTTTTGACCCTGCCTCTTAAAAGAATCGGAATCGAGAATCGTTAGGAACCGGAATCGAAACAAGGAATTGGAATCGGAATCAGAATCGTTCAAATTCAAACGATACCCAACCCTACCTCTGGCAAGGTTCTGAGCGAGCTGAGGCGATACTAAAATGTGACGTGAAAGCAATGCCAACTGCTGATTGGTTAGAGAGAATCGTCACTATTCTCTGCGTCATCATTACATCAGATGGAGTATCCGGAATAATCTCCGAAAGTTATCTATTTTTAAATAGTTTGGCTAGAGCTACTTACTACTATTATTATGGCAACTCGGAAGAATATGCCGTGGTCAAACGAGGAGGTGCAGATTTTCCTTTGTTTGGTTGCCGAAGAGAGGATCCAGCGAGAGCTTGATGGGGCAACGAGGAACGAAAGGCGTCGCTATGACGACCGGGTACTATTTGTGGCGGTACTGTCTGCAATGGAAAACGGAAGGGAAAAGCGAGTCGAGGCAAGTCGAGCTGGTACTGGTAATGGAAAATCACCATTAGTTAGACTTTTTTTTTGTGATATTGAATTTGGTGCCAAGAATTATGAAATTTCAATGGGGTCAAAAATGTTTTGATACCATACAATTCTTATTTAAAGGTACAATATGTATTTTTTGCCTCTAGGGGTCGCTAACCTCTTACAATAACAAAGGCGTAGGTTGATGACACAGTGATAAGCAGAATGATGAGACTTGCTGTCATGCTGATGGATCTAATAATGTTTTTAGATGAGTGAAAACATTCATGTTTTTTAACATGATTGTGGTATGAAGCAGGTTGTGATTTCTAATAAGAGAAAGATATTAGCGCCACACACGAGTCCCGCGGATGTAAAGGAATAAGGACATTTAATTCTACCGAACTACTTGCTGAATTACTACTCACAGAAGTCAGTTTATTTGACGAATTAAACTTGTGAGGTAACGCAGTCCTGTTTAATTTGGTCTAGCATTACAATATCGTACTAAACAGCATCTTAGTGTGTTGAAAGTGATGTTATTCTTGGTGTTACTTTGTTGGCTGTATGAGACTAGCAGTAAGCTAGATCAACATTAGAATAACGTTCTGATCATATTCTCAACATTTCATCATGTTGAGATTTATAACATTGATTTGCCAAGCTCTGTCATGTCCAAGTTAGTCATGGACATGGAGCTCTCGGCAACATGAAAACGCCACACTGATATTGATCCTTGTTTTAGTTCTCCCTTTGTCCCAAAGTCTGCTTGCCATGGTCCATAATGTTTGAACGAAACAACAGCGTACCGCTAGACGTTAGACACTATGCAGTTGTCCATGTCTGTCGCCATGGTTACTATGGCAGTACAAGCGGAAACCATGGATGACGCGGATATTACGTCATTGACAGGTGACAAGTGAACAGGGACGGTCACTTAAAATTGTGAATTTCTCTGAATTTACAAATTCTTGGAAACATTTAGGATAATGGAAGTACACAATTAAAAAATATATATAGCACTGTGCAATTATTTTTTTGAGATTTTGATACAAAAGTCTTACATATTGTACCTTAAAGCAGAAATAACAATATATCATGATATATCATTGTGAGATTTTGGTCATTCGGGCCACCCCATTTGAAAGTGTTGTGAAACGTCTGGGAAGCAACGTGATATAATTTTGTCGAAATGTTGGCACACGTGTGTTTTTCCAAAGAGCAGTGTTGTAGTACTCAAGACTCGGACTCGTCTCGGACTCGGTCGCGAGACCATATTTTAATGGTCTTGGTCTTGTCATGGACTCGTGTGCATTTGGACTCGGAATTGACTCGTACTCGAACATTTTTTTTTTTTTAGGACTCGGACTTATTCCCGAGTCCACTCGAGTTCAATTAAAAATATTTTTCATGATTATTAATGTATGTTAATAAAATATTTCTTTAAATTGATTGACACGCCCAGTGATTGGGGATTTTCTAGTGCGCAACTGCGCATGACAAATTGTAATAAAATTACTTTTAACACCACCTACTATGTGGCCTTTTTACCCTAAACTGATCATATTTTTTAAACTCTACGTAAATTCAGTAAAATAAAAAAGGACTTCTCTAAGTAAATAAAAGTAAATTAGGTAATCAACCCTCACTGGCCTCGGTCTCGACTCGGACTCGACCATCTCTGGTCTTGGACTCGACTTGGACTCGACTCTCTATGGACTCGGTCTTGACTCGGACTCGACTCTCTCTGGTCTCGGTCTCGACTCGGACTGAGTGAGGTGGTCTCGACTGCCAAAGAGCCTGAGTTTATGCAGTTTAAATGAGTTTAAAAACTATGCACACTAACTCATAAATGTATCCAGTAAATATATCTAGCTTTTGCCCTTTTTGAGTTAAATATGAGTCCAAATAGTTTGTGAACAGACTGTGAGCTGTCTGCCGGCGAATCTAACTTAAAAAAAAGAAAAAAAAAAGTAAATGTGTTGTAATGAATACCCACATTCTGAAGGCAGTCTTTGTTATAAATTTTTGTTACAGTTCCAGTTTTTAGCTTTTAGTCCCCACAAGTGCAACAGTGTCTGTTTATATCCATTTAAAAAAGCAAATTAGCCTTTGAAAGTCATGTTCTCAGCATACCTCCTACATATCCAGACTCAGGGGGATTTTGGATAAGATGGCTTTCATTGGACAGCGAACATGTTTAAAGATTTGTATTGTTTTACCGTGTGCTGAGGCCTCTGGTAAATGCTTTCTGATCACTTTCTCTTTGTCTGACCTACAGAACTTCCATTTTCCAGTCATTTGACGGATTTAGGGGACAGGGGCTGGATAGGTCAATGTCAGATCACGCAACACTGGATGAGCTGACGCTGAAACTCATGGTTCAAGACTGCTCTTCTTTCACACAACAGCTGCTTCAACTGAAGACACTGCTTCAGGTCAGATACAAACACATGCTATGCCAATATAACCTTTCATGTCTTCTCTGAGTGGCTGAAATTTGTGATAGCATGTTACGTGGCGTATCGTAAGGCTTATTAGAATATTTCATCGACAGAGCTCTTTTAATTAGTGCTGTTTGCACATTCTTAAATATTTTAAGAATCCCCTAACCTTGCATATTTCATTTTGGTGTTTAAATTCCAAAACAGTCAAAAATCTTGTGAAAGGCCTTCCTAGAAAAGTGGAAGTTTTTATAGCTGCAAATCAGGGTCCAACTCCATATTAATGTCTATGTATTTAGAATGCATTGTCATTACAGTCACTGTTGGTGTAATTGTCAGGTCTCCTAATACTTCTGTTCATATCATGTATGTCCGAGGTCTTAAGAAGATAATTACAAAGTCTGTTGAATATGATACTTTAAGTGTGGGCTCTTTTAACAACCACCCAGAATGCCCTTTAAACCTCTTATCCAAATGTTAGAGAGATTATAAACCTAGTCGTATACTGCATTATGATGTTTCTGCAGTTACAAAGGTTCATTTTGGGTCAGTGTTTGTATCAGTAAGAGATTGAATTGACTTATTGAATTGGCTTGGGGTCGTGTGGCATTTACCAAGGCAGTTTATGCTGTGGCACAGTTCATCCGGGCCAAAGATCTTTGCCATCAAATGGCTGCAGGGCCGGATGAAGACTCTTTAGTGCCCTGGGCACTGACATCTTAAATGCTTAACTTATTCAACTACACATTCACATTTTTGTGGTTCATAAATATGGTTAATAATCAGTATCTAACATGACAAAAACACTCAAACCCCTTTATCTTAACCTCAACATCCAGTCTTGCTGATCCTCCATTTTGTGGTTTTCTATTTTTATTTTTATTTTCTAGTATTTTCTATCAAATGTGACTGTAGTCACATAGTTTTATAAACTGTGAATACAGCTTTTACAAATACACTATAAATGCTGGTCAATGTGACACACACGCGTTTCTCTCTCAGCATGACCCGGTGTGATTAACTCTCAGGTAAGCTACCTGCGACTTATTTTCTGAATGAAAACGGTTCCAGTTATGTTTCCACTTGAGTCTGGTATGGATGATTACAAACTGTTCTCGGCCTGGAATAGGCAGAATGTGTGTCGCCAGTCAGGATTGGTCACTTTTCTGTTGCCTGGCTACCAGTTTCTTTGTAACTGGCTAAGCGTGCCATTTTAGTGACATAAACGCAATTTAATAATAGAATGAAAAGAAATAGCTAATCACCCTCCATAACGAGGTAGCTATTTACATCTAATATCATCAGTAAAGTGGTGTATAAAGCTAGGTTTCTACTCGTCGCATCTGCACGTGTGCGAAGGTGCACGGCAAAAACAAAGTCATTGTGGCATAGGTGGTCGTGCGCGTTAGGTGCCCATGGGCCCATTTCTTTTGCCGGTTTGCACTGCATTTTTTGTACGCACGCCGGGCTCCGCATCCGAAGATGCACGACTTCAAGCCGAATCTGGTCAAGCATGTACATCTCATAGCACCGGTACCCAGTTCGTGGGACTAAATTCGTGGGACTAAATTAGTCTACAATAGCAGACATAAGCCCTTTAAATAAAAATAAAAGCCCATGTTTAAAAAAAAAAAAAAAAAAAAAAAATGTTCACAAAACTAAATATTTTTTTTTCAAAACAGGTAAGATGTAAGATAAGGTTGTAGGCTACGTTCTCATATCCATTTTTTCTTTCTTTTTTCTTTCTTTCTAATGTTACAAGTAATAATCTCAAGGTTTATTGCTTTGCACGATTCTTTTGTAGTATGATTTTGATGAATTAAAGTGTACTAAAATAAACATTCACAAGTGTACCTTACTACTTCTCAGTGCTGATTCCTGATGGTTTAGAGGACAATTACACCGACAATCACCCCCTGTCGTTTCAAAGAATAGTACAACGGCGAGCGCATCAAGTATAAATGGCTCATCCGTTTGGGGAGGTGTGCGCGCAGGCAGCAGAGGCTCACGCTGTGGAGCCAGGCGAAAGTAATAACGTGTTTGTATTACCGTACGTTCCAAAGAGCGGACGTTATCAGCCCCGCAGTAGAAAATGAAACCATATCTGTACCGCCTGATCTTGATCGGCATGAAATGAAAGGGATAAGCAACGATGACTTTTTGCCCCTACTGTGGAAAAGCGGTTTATGTTAATATACTGTATTTGGTACAAGTGGACTAGATCTGCTACGCATGCTGCTGCTGATGCTGGTGCAGAGCAAGAATGGACTTGATACTGCCAATCTGTTTTGGGGAAATCTATGGGGAAAGTTACTTTTAAAAGTACAATATTGCTTTACTCCCTAACTTTACTCACTTACTCCCAGCAAGCAATGAGAGAGAAAAGAGGGAAAAGATCTCAGAACTCAAATTCGGGTCATCTGAGGCACCATTTTCTGTGTCAGAGCACTGTTCACAAAGCTGTGGCTTTAACTCAGAGTCGTTCTGAGCTACATGAGCTTAAGCTGTCTCTATAAAGCTGATTGTAGATCATTTCTGTTAGGAGGGGACATGTTCTAGAGCTCCTTAGAGGAGTTTTGGAACTCCCCAAGTTACACTTATGGCTTTTAAAGGGCTAAAAGAATTTGTAATATGTTATGGGAGTATAGAAAGATCACACATAAGGATGAAAGGACACTCCTACTTGTCCATGCCTTTTCATCATGGGGCCTGTGCACAAAAATGTACTTTTACGAGTTCTTCAAGTGTGTTTGTGAAGGAGAGAGAGAGTGGGTAAAAGATTCTCTTCCAAAATATTTCAATGGATATCATTTGTCTCCTGCTGTCAACTCTCTGATAGTATTTCAACATTTTAACTGACACTTTTTTAGTTCAAGCAAGTGTCTCATTTTTATTTATTTATTTATTTAGATTGATGGGTTAAAAATACAACAGTCCAGTGTATGAAATAATCGAGACACACACACACACACACACACACACATATATATTGTTGATTTTGTTTGTTGTTTGTTTCAGATGGAGACAGATGGTTCAGTTGAAGAGAGTTTAGAGGTTTATACTCCAAAATCCACTGACCAATCTTTACTTGATCAGAAGGTAAGATCTTATCTTATCTTTTTCAATATTTTTTTATATTTTTTTTTTAAAAGGTGCAAATATTCCATGTCTCTCAGTTAATTTCAAGTCATAAAAATTACATGCATAATAATTAATAATAAATAGATGTCCCGATCAAGTTTTTTGTGCCTCCGATTCGAGTCATTGAATATTGAGTATACGCCGAGTCCCAATCCAAAACTTGCATTTTCTTAGTGCTTGGTGCACACTTCAAGTACATTAAAGTTATTAAAACTGGTGTGAGAGACCAGACCAGACAGTGTAGTTAAGGTGAGTGTGGGCTTTTATGCAGATCCAGGTTAATTCACCACAGTTGTAGGGAATCAGTATTGAGGCAAATTGGAACAGAGAGTTGGAGTAGTAGGGTCTGATGCTGATGGGAAGTCTGGACTTGTGACAGAACCTCTCCCTCCATGGGCGGCACCTGACGACCGACAGTGGTAACGATGAGAACGACCTCTTCCTCTGGTTGTAGGATGATCTGGGTGGTTGACGTGAAACTTCTGGAGTAGGGTAGGGTCTACAATATCATCATGTGGCACTCAAGATCTTTTTTCAGGGCCATAACCTTCCCAGTCGATGAGGTATTCAAGTCAGCCGCCTTGTCGCCAGGAGTGCAGGATGGAGCGGACTGCGTAGATAGGATCCCTGTCCAGCTCGACCGGAGGAGGGGGCATATCAGTTAAACTTGTTGATCTTCCTTTGATTTGTTTATGGCCCAATGTATCTGGGACTCAGTTTACGGCTGGGCTCTCAGAGGCCTGGAGAGCCAGGCGAGGGTCGGTCTGGCTCTTGTGCCTCCTCACTGCCCTTGGCCTGAAACAAAGAGAGTTTTAGCGTACTCTGCCCAGGGAAGATAGTTGTTGGTGGCTATGGCAGTACGATCTCAGGAAGCACCCTATCTACTGGATCTTCCTCTCCGTCTGCCCATTCGATTGAGGGTGGTTGCCAGTTGTTAAACTCACTGACACACCAAGGAGATGGAAGAAACCCTTCCGAACTCTTGAGATCCACGATCTGAAACAACGTCTTCGGGTAAACCATTGTTACAGAGCATACGATTATGTAGGGCTTCAGCAGTCTCCAAAGCAGATGGCAATCCTTTTAATGGAATAAGTTGGCAGGCTTCACCACAAGGAGACAGGTGAATGAGTCAAAAATGGGTAGGTCAGTGATGAAATCCACCAGGGTCGGCGAGGAATGGGCAGCGGATGCATTTTACCTTCGGGAAGATTGGGAAGATCAGGTCAGGTCAGGTTCCTTTATTTATACCCGTAGGTAAATTAAGTTCCAGAGAACAAGTTTAGGCTATTTCTCAAACATATAAAAGATAACACCATACAAACAGAACAAGACACTAAAATCACACTAAAACAATCTACTCCATCTTAATTCTATTCTTAAAATGAATCACTACTGGGACAAAGCTGTTTTTATTTTGTTTGTTTTACACCATAAAACTCTAAACTATTGATTGGATGGCAGATACTGGAACTCATAATACAGCGGATGAAGCTAGTCATTCAAGATTGAAATACCTATGCACTGTACCTGCCTAGTATACAGTGAGGATGGGTTCAGAAGTGGTTCCCCAATCTGGACCAATTTTATAATCAGGTTAATAGAGTTCTGGTGATTTAAAGTTAAGGTCCCATGCCAAGATGCCAGAGAAAAGGAGAGTACGGATTCAATAAAAGCACGATAAAACTTATACAACAGTGTTTTCTCAATTTAAAATTGACACAGTTACCTTAAAAAGAACAGGCGCTGATGCACCTTTTTTACACACCATTTCACAGTTGGCTTCAAAACTCAGCTTTGACTCAATGATTGTCCCAAGATGTTTGTAAGACTGAACACACTCCACTGTTTCACCCTTAATGGATGTGAATTCATGCATATTGACATTCTTTCTGAAATCAATAACCATATCCTTGGTCTTCAGTACATTTAAATGAAGGTGAGACTCCTTACTGTGAAATTAAAAATTTTATTAATATGTTTAATTTAATGTTTTAAATGGAGAAAGCCTCTAAATCTCTGAAAACAGTAGGAGCTCCCAGTGTGACTCTCCTGACTGTCCTTTGACCACACGGGAAAGCCATGCCTTTCCTGTTTCTCATCTCACCGTGTGAAAATGCCTGTTTGAAGTTTGAACACCTGCTATGTTAATTTCTGAGACCATTTGCCTTGGAGCAGGGTCACATTTGCTTTGTTTCAGTGTCTCCAAGCTTCATGTAATCCCACCCTCTTTGAAATGTATGAATTAGAATGTAAGGTTCTTTTAAATCAGACTTCTTTGAGACTTTCCTTGAGATGACTAGAGTGACGCAATAAAGAACTTCTGTGTGAAAAGATACCTCAAAAGTCTCCTGGTCTGTTGCGTGGAAGAAAAAAAACTTCACTACATTACACAACTCAACAAAATCATTAAAAATAGGTCCATGACTATTCTCATTATTCTGAAGCAGACTGACAATTACAGTGTCGTCTGCATATTTCAAATCAACACGATTGTCCAAATGACTATGACACATATTTGTGTAAAGGATAAACAGTAGTGGAGAAAGTACACATCTTTGTGGTGAACCCCTGAAGGAAGTAACCTGTTTTCACACTTTGTGTTCTCTCAGTTAAAAAAATCTAAAATCCATCTGACTAAATTATTGCTCAATTTTAACTGTTCTAAAAGTTTACTTATTAGGATGTGAGGTTGAATCGTATTAAATGCAGAGGAAAAATCTTTAAATAGAAGGCTTGCATGAGACCTGTTCCTCTCCAAATGTTTCAAAAGCAGATGGATCAGGGTGACCGTTGCATCCTCTACACCGCTTTTTGATCAATAAGCGAACTGCATTGGGTCTAATAAACACTCAGTCGTCTTTAATATTTCAGATCTCACAAATCTTTCAAAAAAAAAAAATCATTACGATAGACGTAAGAGCCACTGGTCTTTAATATTTTTGGACCACTAGCTTTTGGAACTGGGACATTGCATCCTTCCACACCTCTGGAACATGCTGTACTCTCAAGGACTTGTTGAAAATATAATGAAATACAGGGCTTAATTCTTTTGCACAAGACTTGAGGACCCAGCTACAAATTTTATCAGGCCCATATTTACTCTTAACTGAAAAAAAATCAAGAGTAAAAAAAAATTGTTTACTCTTAACGGGCCCTTTCCACCTCTTTTTGGTCTGTACAAAAATGCTGGATGGCGTGGTACCTTGGAGATGGGTCAGGTGGGACATCATTGGATGAAGTTTATGACTTCCTGAGACATGCCTGGCCACCTGGATGTCCAGATCCTAAGGAAGAGTGTATAATGTCCACGAGGAACTGTTGCAGAACCGATGGAACATAGGTTTGTCCCTCGGGAACTCCCGGCAGAGCAGGTTCGCTGCAGGTACCTTCTGTGATTTGTTCATCTAGATGTCAGTGGATGGGACTGTCAATGGCAGCTGGAGGGAGAATGGGCTCTGGAAGACAGTTGGGTTGGTCAGGGGCATGTACACGGGATGAGTCACAGTAAAGTGAACCGGGTGAAGAATAAAGCCCATCTGGCCTGACAAGGATTCAAGCGCGTGGCTTCTCTGAGGTGTTCCAAGTCACAATGGTCTGTGATCACTTCAAATGGATGGTTGTCTCCCTCCAGACAGTGATGCCACTTCAACGAAAGTTTGATAGCTAGACGTTCCCGATTTCCGATGTCAGAGTTCTGCTCCGCCAGGGACAAATTCTTGGAGGGAGCTTGGGTGAAACCCCCTGCTGATTTGACAACACTGCTCTGGTGAACACTTTCTTAAGCTGGTGGAATGCTTCTGTGGTTTTGGTGACCAGGACAGAGACTTGTGAATTTTACATAGCAAGGAGGTGAGAGGAGATGATAGGGTGCTAAAGTTTGCGATAAAGCAGTGATATAAATCAGTGAAGCAAAGGAGTAGTTGGCGTTTCTTTATGGTGGTGGGAATGGGTGAGTTATGGACTGTATCCACCTTCCTCTGGTCCATCTGGATACCTATGGCATCGATGACATATCTCAGAAATGAATAGAGGAAATTCACATTTTTTATAGCTTGAGGTAAAGGTGATTCTTCCTCAGCTTTTGGAGAACCTGCACAACGTAGAGGCAATCATGTGCCTCGTTTCGAGTTCCAAAACGATGCAGATACTCCCGGAACACCTCATTCTCGAAGGCCTAAAACACAAAGAGTGGGCTAGCCTATACGGCATGACCTGATATTCATAGTGCCCCAATGGTGTGATGAAGGCGGTCTTCAATTCGCAGGTCCAACTTGGTGAAGATAAAAGCATCTTGAGCACCACTGGAACCAGAGGAAGGGGATATTTGTACAATACCGTCGACTTGTTGAGGGTTTGATAATCAATGGCCGCATGCCACCGTTCTTGGCCATAAGGAATGTAGAAGGGCAGGTGAAGAACCCTGGTGAAGAGCCTTGTCTACATACTTCTCCATGGCATTTTGTTCTCGGATGGATAATGGGTACACACTTCCCTTAGGCAGGGTGGTAGCTGGCAGCAATTAAATAACACAGTCCCATGGTCTGTGAGGTGCTAAATGGGTTGCTTACTAAAAACATCCTGGAACACCCTTTACTCCTCTGGGACTTCGACATGTTGCTGTTCAGGACTCTCGATGGTGATTCCTTGGAGGAGCATAACAGATGGTTAAACCATTGAAATAGGTCAAGAGAGAAGTTAAGCAGGTATCAAAGCAGCCGTCACTCCAGGAGAGACAGGGACGTCCCAGGATGATGTCAGATATTGATCCATCCAGCACCAGTAAGGAGATATTTTCATAATGAGTGGCACCAATGTGAAGATGGAGTGGGAGATGGAGTGCAGTGAGTAATGGTTTCCCCAGGATGGGGTAAATCTTTTGGCAAGGGATTTTTGGGATGGGGAACCGGTTGATGAAGTTTTTGGAGATGAAGTTTCCCACGGAGCCCGAATCAATGAGGGCCTTGGCTGAAACGAAATGCAGCCGCATCGGGTGAAGAATGCAGGGCCGGAAGTTCCAAATCACATGCATCTAAGCGCTTGGCCATATGGGATATATTATTAGATGAGATTTTCCAATCCTGTTGATGAAATTTTCCAATGCTGTTGTTATAAATGGCAAGATCCAACCGTAGTGGATGGTGGTAAACCATTGGTAGGCTGTGATGAGTGCTGGCTCTTTCCATTGGCTTACAGCTGTAATGATTCAAAATTTAACCGAACCTTCAGACACCGAGGATTTTTCCTGCTTGAGATGAAATAACTGGTCATGCACAGTGAGTAAGGTGGCAGATACCTCTTTGAATTGTGTAAGAAAGGCCAACTGGAGTGCAGAGACCAAAGAAATGATGAACACAACCTTTGCTCTATCCGTGGTGAAACGCTGTGGTTGCATTTTGAATAACTGCATGCAATTGGCTAGGAAGCCGCTGCACTTCTCCGTTGCGTCAGAGAAGGGCGCTAGTAAGGCCATGGGACCTTGTGAGGGAGCGATGAGCGGATAAAGAAGCGATTGACGGAACTGGTGATCTAGGATTTATTTCACAATAGTGGTCTGGTCTTCTGTCACAAGATACTAGAGCACAGACAGGAATTTATTAAAGAGAATGGAGGAAAACACATGGGTAAACATAATAGAGTGCCAGCAGGCACTTGAATGACTTAACTAGAGACAGCAGTCTATTTATAATGCAGGATTGAACTGACAAAGATGAAGATAAATAACCGCGATCGGGAGTCAGGTAAGTTTTGCACTGGTGTGAGAGACGAGACCAGACAGTCTATTGAAGGTGAGTGTGGGCTTTTATGCTGGGCCCTGTTAATCAGCCACAGGTGTTGGGAATCAGTATTCGGGCGAATTGGAATGAAGAGGTAGGCTCTGACGTTGATGGGACAGCTCGACTCCTGACAGGATGTGCAGAGAGTTTCTCAGGGGCAGGGGCAGGGGCTCAACTGTAAATAAAAAGGCCATCAAACACTAGTAATTATATTGAAACAATTACTCATTAAATATATTTATTGGCATATTTATTGTCATATATAATTAGGGCTGTCTATAGTCTAATAGATTAAAATTTGTAATCATGATTAATCGCACCCTTTCAAAATTAAGAATAAACCACTTGTCTTGTCATAATTTTGTAATAATTTTGCTATATCCAGCAAAGTAAACCTTCAGACTGAAATGGGATTAATTCAAGTATTGCAGTCACAGGAAAAAAAAAGGAATAAGCATTGTCAAAAATGTAAAAATTCATTTAAAAATATTTCACAAATATTTCAGTCAAGCAAACAATGCAGTAACAGATCGAAAAATAAGTGTGAATAAAAATGTTTAAAACGCATTAAAAAATTGTAATATCAAATCAACTTTAAACACATTTTAACTTATATTGTACAAAATTCAAAGTTATCCAAATTACATGCAAAATCATGTTTTCTGCTCATATTTTCATTTTTTTGGTTTGCTTATGTTGTTTTTTGTTTTGCTCTTGTTTTCAAATTCTGTGCTTGCTTTTCCAAAAGGGGGGGCTTTATCATCAACATTGGTGCACTAGTTTTAGATTGACAGCTCCTCTAGCCAATCAATCAGTTGTCGTCACTCCAAAACAACCCATGCTGCTGATGGTCAGACTCCTACAGATGAAAAACATGGTTATTTTGCGTGCGATTACATAACTTTGAATTCATGTTTCTGTGTTGTGCAATAATTTTAATTATATTCATGCTTACTATTTTTTAAAGCATTTTTAAATTATTTTTTTGATTGGTGACCGCGTTGTTTGTGTCTCTTCTGACCACTGCATATTCATATCAAACATACAAAAGAAGTTCATAAAGTCTTTATGAGGATTGGGGCATGACCCAGATTGACATAACTCCAAGTGAGCCAACAACTCTTAACATATCCTATGCATGTGCACAGTCCATTGCACCACAACTCTGAAAAAGCACCAACAGTACAGCCAACTCACCACAAAACAAAAACAAATGTGTGTATTGCATAATATTTTTGCTATTAATAAATATGTAATGCTTTTACAACTTTTACATTTACATATTCCCATCCAACCCCTGATCAAAATCAACCTCTGTTCTGATTTGGCAAAAAAATAAATAAAAAAAGGTTCACCTTATCTACTGTTATTTTCTAGGTGGCACTGCTTCTGAAAGAGGTTCAAGAACTGAGAAATGAGCTCAGAAGCAAAGACAGGATGATTGCAGAACTTTCCCAACAGCTGGTGCGTATTTTAGTCTAAATATTTGAGAGTAAAAAATCTTTAAACATTGAAAAAAGGGGTATAATATTTTAGTGTGTTATTTTAAAATAATTGGCATGTGCTATAGTAAGTAACAAATCTACACAATCTTGAATGGTTTAGCACAATCTGACCGTTTTACTTAATTTATTTGATAATGCTTTGCAAGGTTTAATTTGTTAACAGTTAATGTATTAACTAACATGAACTAACTTTGAGCAATTCATTTGTTAAAGTATTTATTTATTTTAACTTTTCTAATGTTAGTTAATAAAAATACAGCTCTTCATTGTTAGTTCATGTTACTTCACAGTGCATTAACTAATGTTAACAAATACAACTTTTGATTTTAATAATGTATTTTTTTGTCATCACTTTCTCTCCCTTAAGTTTTTCCAAACCTGTATGAGTTTCTTAAAGAATTCTTAAAGAATGTTAGTAATCAAACAATGGACGGTAGCTATTGTATACTTCACATATTTAAATAATATATAATTTATGTGCATTGCTTAACTGTCTTGAACTGTCATTTCAATATACAATAATACCTCAGGCTCAATGGTCCTAAATAGGATTGATTAAAAAGAAAAAAAAAAATATATATATATATCATTTGATTTTGGGATGAAATACATGTTTTTTAAAATCTTCATAAAATCCACACTTATTTTGTGTTTATGAATATTCATGATGTAAATACATAAAGGACTTATAATATTGAAATGTGTATTGTATTCTATTGTGAATGTTCCTGGAATCACAATAAATGTCACGAGACCAGTGTGATATTTGTTTGTTGTTATGTTTTACATAATACATCAGCATTTTATTTTTATTTTTCATAGTCTTCTCCGGTTGAGGATATGCAGTGCCACTGCCTGCAGGGGTCAGAGGCTTACAAGGAGTCAGCGGAGCACCAGGACAAGGATACTCAAACCCTGCGGAGGCCACATAATGTGAGTATATATGCAGAGATAGAAAACAAGGTCAAGTCAGCTTTATAACTGCATTGTTGGTTATATTATGAACGTGATTAGGGATAGTACTGACTGACAGAGGCATAGGCCAAATGATATTAATCACTTCTATGGAAATAAGGATGCTCATATAACTGAAAGGAGTGAAGGAGTGAACTCCAAAACATGCCTATACATACAATTCACTGCAGATTCCATTTGAAATGAACACTAATGGCAGTAAAACACCAGTTTGCGCCTTTATCTCTCATTTGCTTTTGTTGACACAGTCAGTTAGGTTTATAGTAGTGTTTAGTATTGGTGGTATATTATTTTTAAAGGCGTCATGAACTGAGAAATCAATTTTTCCTTGAGCTTTTGGCATAAAAGGTCATCATACTATTATAATATCCTGTAAGTTTCAGAACTGAAAACATCCTTGTTATTCCAAAAAACAGCTTATATTGTAATCAAGCCCAGCAAACGACTTGTTTATGGAATGTGCCTATAATTGGAAAAAGGATCCTAATGCTAGGAATGTGGTTTTATTTTCAACAATGTGAATGTCTCAGTTGAGCATTATTTATTTGGATTCGATACATTTTTCAGTGGATCATTTGGTAAATCAGTCGCAATTTCGGTGCAGGCTTTGCAAACAGACTTTTATGATATGGACTCGACAGTAATGCCACAACATGTAAGTAACTGTATTCATTCTAATGCCTGATCTGTGACCAGTGTTTTTGATGTGTAATGATTTATGTACAGTCAGATATGTCAGTAATGTCTATGTCAGTAAATCAAACCAGTGACTAAACGGTTAACTTCACATATTTCTCTTGGTAGGATGAAAATAATCCGTTATTTAAACTGCGATTAAATTAGATATAGAAAGCTATCAAAGAACACTCTTTTTTTTACAATCACTGGACCTTTTAATCAAATTGCGAGTTTCAATCAAAGTGACTGAGTTCTGTACTCTCGCCAAAACTCCTGTTATAGCAAAGTCTCTTTTATCAATAGTCTTAATATAATCAACAAATCTCTTATTTGCATTGTGTTTTCACTGTTAGTTATGATGAAAACATTCGTTAGTGTGCAAGAATCTAATTGCTAAGACGAGATCATAGTTCATGCGCTTAACATGTCTGTAATCATGAATGATGACAGCTTTAATTTTTGGGTGAAAAAAGGCTGTTTGATTTCTACTTCAATAATGGCAACAATCTGCAAAATGAATGCTTTTTTCCGCACACTGTTGATGATTTTATATTTAAGTTTTTAGGGCGGATTTATTTATTTATATTAGCTACTCACAAGTGACCAATCATCAGTTTGTGCTTTCACCAGCGCTGTTCTCCTATTCTCACTAGAGTTAGTTAACCATACTGATAAATCCATGAACAGTTTAAATAGAATAGTTTTTAATTGCACTGAACCCAAATAAAAACTTTGTCTGTAGTCCTGGTAACAGAATTGTGTGAATGATGTGACATTTCTCTCAGGCTCTGGAAGAAATCATTGTAGTTCAGTGGATCTCAGTGGTTCTGAGCCCAAAGGCTAATGGACAACAGGGAAAAACAATGCAGTTAATATTCAGAAAAGACCCCTCGAGGGGTGAGATCAAACAGAGGAAAATGATCTAATTGAATTTGCCCGTGTTTTGTCGACACTTTTCATGAATGGCATACAAAATAGGGCCTAAAAGGTTTTTTTTTTTTTTTCCTCAATAGTTAGTAAAGGTTCTTAACCTCTAAATTATAGCTAAATTAATAGATTTTTGGGTAACACTTTATAATAACTGCACGCTAATAATCATTTGTTAAGCATGAGTAAACAGTTAATTCATCATTTATAAAGCATTAATAAACATTAATAAGCCGTTTATAAATGCAGCTTTAAATATTTTTTCTTGATTTATAAGCATATCTATAATGCGTTTAATAATTGTATTTTCATACTTTGTAAATGATCAATTAATAATTTCTAAATGAAATCTAGCATTATTTACAAACCAGTTATTTAAGAGTTGTCAGTCATTCATAAAATCACTTAGTAAATGTAGTAAATACAGTTAGTTTTAAAGCATTTAGTAGTGGTCAGTTAACTATGTGTGTGAGCTCATCTAAAGTGAGGACTATTCATGCCTTGTAAAGCATTTACAGTGATGTGAATAAGTTTGGACACCCATGCTAAAGTTGCCTAAAAAGAGGAATAAAAAATCATCTTTTGGATATTGATCTTAATGCCTTAATTAGAAAAATGAGGAAAACTCCAACCTTTAAGGACACAACTTTTCTTTGTGAATGAATAATGCATCATAAATAAATAAATGTTTTTCCTTAAAATACAGGGTGCATAAGTCAGGACACCCCTATGTTAATTTCCCATAGAGTCAGGCAGATTTTTAATTTTAAAAGCCAGTTATTTCATGGATCCAGGACAATATGCATCCTGATAAAGTTCCCTTGGCCTTTGGAATTGAAATATCCCCGCATCATCACACACCATTCACCATGCCTTGAGATTGGCATGGTTTTACTTCAGTTAGCCTAATAGCTGGTTTGATTTGCATTGAAAGATGATCTTATGGAAAGTACCCCATGCCAATCTCTAGGTGTGGTGGAAGGTGTGTGATGATGTGGGTCTATTTTAATTCCAAAGGCCAATGGAACTTTATCAGGATGCATATTATCCTGGATCCATGAAATAACTGGCTTTTAAAAATAAACATTACTATGACTATAGTGAGTCAATGACACAATGTGATGAGACATTTGCAACTACAAGTTAACACAGGTTGACTGGAACACTTTTTGCCAGTGAGATGACTAGGTAAACCTTTCGCAATCAACCTGAATTCACCCTATATGTGGCTTGCACTATTCAAATGTCTTTTTTTCCCTGTAGAACTAAGGTGTTTGTATCGATATACAGTATGTGTATGTGTGTATGGTGCAGGGATCAGCCTCTCTCTCTCTGTTCCTCTGTACAGGGCATGTTGCTTGCCCCTATCCTCTCTTCTTGGCAACACTCACAGCGGGGGAGTGTGCAGCCATGTGCGCCACGTCACCACAGACAGAGTGAGTCCCTTAACCATCCGACCAACTGAACCAGTCTGTGCACTAGCCCCAGTGCTTGCTGCATGTCCGCCTGCCTCCCCTTGAGACCCCATGCACAAAAATCCACCGTCTTATCACATTCCAGTCCGGAATCAGTCCATCATTTCCACACCTTTTAGTTTAATTTACCTTATACCCCTCCCCCTGTCTGCTTGGTTTAGAATCTCCAGACCCATTTACTTTTTCTGCATAGTTTTCAAACCCAGATAGTCATACTCGCACCGAATGACTTTCGTCTGTACTTTTATCCTTCAACCAAATTGTATCTGAGCTGTTTTCAATAGAGATATGCCAGCCCGTTCTCATCCCAAGGCGTCATATACTGACGCTTTTGACATTTCGCCTACATCCAACGCACATGGCACCCTTTAGCGTCAATATGAGACGCAGATATATATATATATGGGCCAAAAGGCGCCTCCTAGTGGTTTAACCGTAAACCTACCTCAGAACTAAACCTACCATAACCGAACAAAGTTCTCTGTGCGTGTTATACTGATGCTAAACGGTGCAATGTGTGTTTGATTTAGACGAAATTTCAAAAGTGACACTATATGACGCCCTAGGATGAGAATGCGTTGGATATGCTGATGAGATATCAGGTTTTGTCATTTCATTGCCTAAAACATGCAGTCGTGACTGACATCGTGTCCTGACTACACGCGGCACGATAAAATTCCAGCGACAGCAAGTGTGTCTGTCGACACTAGACGCGACGCCACACTCAAAAATCACAGCCACGCAGAACAGCGTGTGCGTGAAAGCACACTGCTGGCCCGCACTCGCATTGGAAATGGGTAAGGACATAATCAAGTCAAGAAATAACATTATTAAAAATCAAAACATTAACAAAACATACTCATTGACTAATTTTGTGATGAAGTAGGCTACAGTAAGTATATGTTTGCATAGAATTCATTTTGAACGCTATATTATCTGCTTTCAAAATCTGAGGTAAATTATCCGTTATCGCTTGTGGCACAGTGACCTATTTTTAACTAAAAATAAATAATGTGTACTCATAACCAGTGTAATTTCTTCATTCTGTCAGCCGCGACGTCGCAGAAATAGGAACCGTTTCTAAATTAGAAACTTCGCGTGTCGCCGTCGCGTCTGGTTAGGACAAAAACTCTGATTAACATGGAAAAGATACCTTTTATCGCGTGTCGCGGCTTTGCGTCGCATGTAGTTAGGACACGGTGTGAGATCCTTACTGTAAGGGATGAATTAGATTGATTAGATTTACTCACCCTCATGTCATCTTACCAGAATGTCATTCCTTTTTTTTTTCAGGCATATGATAGCTTTTTTGAGGAACTTACCTCTACTGTAGCTTTCAAATCTTATTCAAGCTAACATTCATGAGGCATAAGGTGTTTGACCATGTCACATGAAACCCAATGATGTAACTTGATGCAACTCGTCTTGACACGTCAAGTCTGAACTGTGATTTGAGAGCTACAGCAGAAGTAAAAAAACCTTTCAGTTTCTAAAACCTATTGCTTAGCTTCAGACATAATTACTTTTATGATATTTTTAAGATGCCTTTTCTTCTTTTTTGAGGCTTAACAGCCCTAGTACCCATTTAATTTCATTCATTGTAAATAGTAGAAATAAGCAGCTTGGTTTGGAACCCTTTATTTTTTTAAGCAACATAAGGATCAGCTGTATAAACCACCATACAATTCTTGTCTGATAAACAAGATTTCATTTGACAGAAAGAATGCTTGTTGGTGAAAGGGCTTGCGAGCTGTGGTTAAGCCGTGATGAGTACTAATATGTCAGATGGTAGCTGTGGGAGACAGAGTAGAGAGTCATTATCCTTTAGAAAAGACGACAACCTGACTCGTAGACACATGTTCTCTCACTCTCTCTTTCTCTTTGACTCTTTGAGCAGTCCAGACCGAACCTTAATTCTACCCATTTTCAGATGCGCTAATGAGCATGGAACTGAATGCACTTTCCCTTTTTTCTTTTTGCTTTCATTTGTTACGTGAAGCTCAAAATCTAGATTACTGTCATGGCTGAACTGGCTGTTCATTTTTTTTTGCCATTTCTTTGTAATAATGCTAGTAAAAAAAAAGTTTGCCTTCGTGTTGTGTGCTGATGATGTTTCCTGTTCTACCCCTGTCATCTTTGTGTATATCTTTAATTGACTGATTTTTCCTTATTGTTTCTCTCCCTCTGCCTCTCCCAAATTCGGGCAAAAGGAGTGGAGCATCTAGTTCATTACTTCAGAGACACTGCGTGGTATAGTACTGCCTGTCTTTTCTCTAAAATGTCCTCTCAACCCCTTCCTCTCTGTTTGCATGGTCTCTTATTCTGTACTGTGAGGAGAGCCCATCTCCATTATAATTGTTAATTTTGTTTTCATGAAACCGACTATCTTCAAACCTCTTTTTGTCTTTCATTCTCTCTTATCTGTTTGACCAACCCATATAATTTTGTGAAATTATAAAAAAAAGTTTACATTGTTACTTCCAGAGTTGGAGACATGACTTGTACCAGACTCCTTAGCCAGACTGATCTCATGCAATGGTGTATGTATGAAACGCCAATTCGTATTTCCATTTTTTGGCGTGCTATCAACACGCATAATCACTTTTCTGCATGTTTATGAACGCCGTTGACTTAACGTTACATTACTGTATAAATATATGACCTACCCCAACCCCGTCCCTAAACCTACCCGTCACTGGGGTTAATAGCATTTATGAGTCTTCCTCTACCATCCTAGGAAAAAAATATTGCTCCCCAGATGTAGATTTACACTTTGCTTCAACAACAACAACAACAAGTTTATTTATATAGCACAATTCATACCATCAAAGTACTTCAATGCGCTTTACAAAAAGTAAAAACATCATGATAAAATACCAGATACAAACATGCACAAAAAAAAGTATAATAAAGATTTAATAAAAAAATAAATAAACAAATTTAAAACTACACAGTATAGCTAATTTTAAAAGCTCAGTCATAAGCTTGTGAGAAAAGAAATGTTTTCAACTTAGATTTAAAAATCAATACATTCGGGGCACATCTAATATCTTCTGGTAGTTTGTTCCAGTCGTGTACAGCAGAGATGCTAAACGCAGCTTCTCCATATTTTGTTCTAACTCTGTGCTCCGCTAGCTGACCTGAGTTTATTGATCTAAGAGTCCTGTTAGGTTTATATTTTTCAAACATTTCGGAAATGTACTCAGGACCTAAACAATTCAGTGCTTTATAAACTAAAAGCATCGCTTTAAAGACTATTCTATAACTAATTGGGAGCCAATGCAAAGTTTTAAGAACTGGAGTGATGTGCTCTAGTCTATTCTCTTAGTCCCGGTTAATAATCTAGCAGCAGCGTTCTGAACAAGCTGCAGCTGTTTTACAGTCTTCTTCGGAAGTCCGGTTAATAAGCCATTACAGTAGTCCACCTAGAGATAAAAGCATGGATAAGCTTCTCTAGGTCTTTTTGAGGCACCGATCCTTTAATTCTAGAGATATTTTTCAAATGATAGAATGCTGTTTTGGTGACCGCTCTGATATGACTATTAAATGTAAGATCCGAGTCTATCATAAAACCAAGATTACGCACTTGATCCCTAACTTTAAAGGCACGGGAATCTAATTCTTTAATAATGCTTATTCTTTTATTTTTGTTACCAAACACAATAACCTCGGTTTTATCTTGGTTTAGTTGTAAAAAATTTAGATTCATCCAGGTTTTTATTTGTTCTATACAGTGACACAAAGCGTCTATTGAACTATTGTCATCTGAATCAAAAGCCATATATATTTGAGTGTCATCGGCGTAACTATGGTAATTAATGTCATTATGTTTAACAATTTGTAATCCTTTAAAACAAGTTGGCACTATAAATAACACAGTACAGAATTAAATGTTATAATTTCAAATTAAGTAAATCAAACTATATTGAATTTGGGATTGAAAACATAATCTCAGTATGCTCAAATAAGGATTCGCAATATTCAAGATTTCAAGGTCTATAAAGTTGTTAATGCGTACATCATTTACATTTTAGATTCGGTTAATACATCAATATTGTACATTTTAGAGTGAAACACTGTATTGTGACGCTTCGAAACATTTGTGAATCAAATTGTTTTCGAACCAGGGATTCAGAGAGTGTATCAAACTGCCAAAATTACGTGATTTCAGTAAGCAAGACTACTTACTTCAAGTTCATAACTGTTTTGAAATTTCAATGGTTTGCCACTAGG